TGCCTTATAAGTTCACCGGTATCATCCTCTATTCAGGATGTCCATGACCATAAACCATCCAAAACATTACACTCACTCTATACGATTGGAATAATCGGGTCATCGAAACTGGAACAGTTTTCATGGGCTTTTCTGCGCTTCTATGCTAAACATGTGATTCGGTATTTGTAAAACCCTAAATTTTACAGGGCAATCTAGTCGCTTAATAACAATGAATATATAAGGATACAACCATTGACGCTTGACTATTACGTGTGCTTCATCAAATTTGTACTGGCGAAAATATGTCGCCATGTTGGAATAACAATAGATGATCACATTAAGGTTACGAGTGAGCCTGACAAGTCTTTTTACATGAACATAAACTAAAATAATAACCTAAATACATATTGTTTAGGAGGACAGATCGCAGATTCAGCCATTAAGTGCTGAACTTAAGATTGTGTTCTGCTTCAAAGCTTGTTGTTATATAGGACTTTCGACAAATAGGACTTTCGAAGTTGAAATGGCAACTGCTTTTCATATAACCGAAATTTATACCTTAAAGATCGTTAGCAGTGCAATCTTCTCACGCTATCTCAGACGGCCTGAGTCGCAACAAGAAATCTTTAGGTAAGCCATACTGAATTCGTTTCTAAACATATAGCATTAAAAGCCGTGTTTTCTGATATCGTGTATTACATCAACAGATAAAAGGTTACTAAGGTCGACGCCCCCCGCCCCTCCGCACCGACCTTAATGGGTTGTCAGACTTTGTGTTTTGTATAGATCGCATATTGTAAACGTACCGAAAATAGCGCTTGCAAACAAGTTATTTGTTTAAAGTTCGGCTGTCTCTACTTACTCTAAGCGAGGATGTTATCTAGTTCAGTAAAATTTATTTATGTTCATGAGATGTATCATACAATAACGTTTCGTATTCTTGCAGATAGCCCTACAAATATAAAGATAATATCTTTTTAGGCGTTCTTGCGAGATTCACTGAAACTTAAGATTGGCACATAGTTTATGCACAATCCATTTTATATAATTCCTGGTGATTTCGATGGTTCAATAGGGAGTTTAACGCGGTTCCAAACTCATCTATTACGTCTGGTTAATCGCGAAGTTGTTCTTCTAGGTTACGAAGGGTTCGTTAGAAGTTCGAGTAAATGGTTGGTAGGAACTTGGTTTTAAATCCTCGACAGACAGGGGGCGTACAAACAAGAAAGTCAACCAGCCGGTTTCGTGTAAAATCCGATAATGTGCTTGAAAAAAGATATCCTCGCGCATGGTCTTTATGCCGCAGGCAGCCATTATGTTTTTCTGCAGCGCAGTCTGTCTGAATGCCTTACTACTTGTTGACTGAAACCGTTTTTTTTAAAGTAAGTAGCCACCTATTGGTTAGTCGATAAAGCATAAATTGGACGAAAAATCGCTTACAATACAATTCAAGTATCTGTTGCATGCTCGAAATGATCATTGGTATTAAATCGCTTGCTTCGGGCTGACATATTTCATTGACCAGTGTGATGAAAAAGGTTTTTTTTTCGTAGGAATTAATTCGAGGGCATGCTCGGAACAATAGTATGCTATCTCACCTGAAAGATACCTACGGCTTTCGATCATGCAATATATGCTTTGTTGTCCTAATATATATAATCAATCCCTGGATGGCGGATGCACCAATCTGCGTGTTAGGCCTCGTCCGGAGGTTCCCTTGAACCTAACATATTGTACTGTTCATAGCAAAGATAAAAGATTTCTGAACTTCTTTAATGAATCAAATTATGCCTGTGTATGCCGTATTTTTTTTGGTTTTAGCGGTGTTTGTCATAGTGGACATGTAAGCCGACCGAGACCCTTCTCCCTCCAAATTCATAATAAACTGCCATAACAGGTCCTAGAGAAAATTTAACGACATCCACATAAAAAACTGGATACGAACCGTTATAATACATACAAGACTCATGGTTAAAGTCTAAACAGATCGAAAGTTGACTCCAGTAACTTGATCACACTATAGGAATCCTTGCATGTGTCTAGTACTTGTTTACGTAACTGTAATCGAATCGAAGTTAAGTCAGTGGTCTTCTTTTATTGCGAATTTCAGATAGTAAAACAGCTCTCAAGTGGCTTGCCTTATTGATGCCATTGTTGTGAAATAATTTCCAGCTCTCGCTCATCGACAAGAATAACAACGACACGATGATTCACTTCGTTGCTGGCACTTTTATATAGATTAAATTTCTGATAGGCTGTTTGGCTACTTGGTGGGGGTAAATATATTGGGGCGTATTACCTACATAACTTTATGTATCTTTGCCTCCTAACAGCGGCTAGCGGTCGCTCTGATGCGCCCCGCTGAGGTATAGAGTTTCATAGCACAGCGTCCATAATGGCCGCTTACTGGTGTGCGGCACACACAACGTCCTGTACCCTTTCGTAACAAGACCAAGTCACCAATGAAGCTGGCCGGCCAATAACATTGTCTGGCTTGCCAATAGTGACCCAGCCAGAAAGAAGATGGTGGTCCTTTACCGCATTCCTGCAAGTTGCTAATGTCAACCTTATCTTCCTGCCACTCCTATCGTCATGGGACGCCGCTTCTCCTAACGCCCCTCCTGAACTTTCCACTAACACTACATCTAGAGGGCGGACGTTAGGACAGAACGAGAAAGTGAGTCACCGGGCTTGCTACAGTTCTTGCCAGCGGAATATGGATCTCGGTGTCCATGTATGTATTTCTACGCTGTGAGTTACCGGCTGTTGTAAGTGGCGATTCTCTCTTATTGTCCCTTACTCCCCGAATGCAATCGTACAGCGTGAATAGCCGGCGAGCATTGTCGCCCGTCCACACTTGCCCACTATCGTCTTGCCATTTTCTCCTCCTGCGCTGTCTCTATACGATACCACTGCTACGATGGATAGCAGCGAAAAAGGCCCTCGTAGGACACTTCGGACGGGCACCAGTAGCAGCACTGCGAAGAAGCAAGCAAACAGTCGCGCGAATGAAGTGAAGTCCTATCGCCGCACACAGAATAATTTTATGGCAATCGTCCTTACTCGCGCAGCGTTGCCGCTGCAGTAGCGACAACAAAGAAAACCCCATATAAAAGCGATAGGCGACGGAAGCACCAGTGCTGAGGTAATAAACTGCAGCCTCAGCTGTACCTCCATAAGCGGTAGCAATAGTGAAGGCTACAGACCACGCTCTTAACTGTTCTGGGTCAGCAACTAGATGGGCAGACCGGGATAGGTCGCTTTATGACACTGCAGACTACCAGTTGTAAAGAAGCCGCCGGATTCATTGCTTTGTCCCCTAATTTCGTTTGCCCATTTGCTAGTGCGCGCATATTTTTCGCAGAGGATGAGAGCTATGAATTGAGGGGCTCAGGTGCCGCTCGAACGTCACCGACCACCACTTAACTTCAACTAATGCGCACTAATAACATCAATTTCTTCCAGTTAACGTTTTACCGAAAACAAGGGATCAGAACCCTTGTAAAATTAGTACTTCGCTAAATTATGTTATTAGCTATTAAAGACAAGCATAAATGACTTAAGCTGAAACCAAACACACACCCAGGTAAGGCAGTAAAGACCTAAGGAACTAGTAAAGGGGGTCAAGTCCCCCAGTTGTAGATGATGATAGTCGACATAGTCGAAATTCAACATACAAATGTTAAATACTAATATTTTATTTTGTTATTGTAATAAATTGCGAATTATAACTGTATCTTGCGCCACATCGCGTTTTATACGCGTATGCTGCTAGTTATTCTCTATTAAGGAACTGCGTTTTGCAATAACCAATAGCAACTTGTACTTTAACTTGTTTGGTAATAATCATACGGAGTGAGAAGTACTTTGGGTAAGCTATTCTCCTACCCTATAGAAGCAAGAAGACAAAGAAGTATATCGATTGTCTCTGAAAGTCAGCATTAGGCAGTCCAGAATCAGTACTTCGGATCAATAGCGGGTGTATCCGTTTGTAAAAACATTTAGAGATGCGTAGGTTAGATATTTTTCCAAGCTAGACAAACGTAACTCACTATTGTATCAGTCTAATTTAACCTTCACAGAGCAACGCAGTGTTCCCGCTATTTAAACACAATAGGCCTGAAAACGGGCAAAGCAAGAAATTATGCTAAGGTATGGGTGAGATGACTAGACATTTGCAGGCAATCTGTGCGATTTCGTCGAACGTGAAGATCTTTCGAAGTCAATTGACCTCGTTTTGAGGAACACATAGGCCTTTAAAAGCCTAGGTTCGAAGCGCGCTAAGCGTCCGATATCTGATATTGGTTGAACGTGTACCATCTCGTTGAATAGCGCGCTAGGAATATTGTAACGGCAGATCTGTTCCAACCGGATTGCTTACTACGACAACGCATTGAAACCATTGAGTTGTCTATTTTAAGCTGTGTGCTATTCATTGACACGTATGTCGACATCTTCGGCGACAAATCGTCTCCATTGTGACAGCTTGCCTGTAGAAACAGAGTTGTATGGATGATGGCCATAGAGATACAAAGAAGATATTTTGAGTACGTGTATTGTCAGGATGTGCCTTACGCTAACTATCAGCAGTTTTATGCTGTAAAACAACATATCGCGGTCGGGTCGGAATAACGATGGAAGATGTCAGAACGACCGAGTCAAGCGAATCCGAATGTAGAACCTTAGCCAATAATTATCCAGCAAGCTTCTGTTTTATTTATGTTACTACTACAACTAATGTTTCGTAGCTTTTCACAGTATCCAGTTGTGGAAAGACCCACGCAGAGGTGTTGTACGATATCGGCGAGACTTCATGTGGAGACGTATTTTGTGTACTATTGGGAGTACAATCGCGCGAAACACTAGCAAAGGTCCTGTTCGCGTTATACGCAGGTATAGGTACAAAACGTCGGCAATGATGAACGTCAGGTCGATGTTGTCACAAAAAAATAGATGATTCAGTAATAACGTCCCTACATTATTATATCTACATATACATGTGGAAAGAACGCTAGAAGTCGCGAAGAAACACAATTTATTTAGTAACGATTGCCTACCAATGGATATAATTTCGGATGTAACACTTAAAGCAAAGCATTTGAGACTCGGCAGATAGTTATCATTGATTTGAATTAATTGAGAACTAATTTAACGCATTGTTTCCGTGCAGGAGCATTTTAGAAGTGGTAGCATAGAATGGTACATGCTTTATTTGATGGGATTGTTTCATAGATTGCTGTTATTTGAATATCGATAAACAAAGCTGTGATAGATGTTTCCTGAATGTATATTTTAGAGACCTAACCTTATTGAGCAAAGGCCTGCCAGTGTGACACTGAGCCGGTGGCCTCTTGCGGCCCAATATCGGCTAGCTTAATTGTGTTTCTTTTTGTGCGATCGGAAATAAGATCATTAGCACCAGTATTAATATTATGGCACTTATCAGTCCTTACTCGTTCAATCTACAGCCAGTTTCAAACTAATTGCTTTACTCGGCTTCAAGGGATCCTCAATTCCAATCAGGACAACCCAGAAAAGCTCTACTTTAGACAACAAAACGGTCAGCAATTGTTCAGTTTAATGAGCCTGCTGATCAAAAAGAGTAGTTTATTTAAGCACACTGGCCGTGTAGTATAATATCATCAGAAAGAATAGACAAAGACTAAAGGGTCGCTTTGCCTTTCTTGAAAAATAGTCTCCCGTAGTATTCGTTTGAAGCGGTCTTAACGTAGTTTTAGGCCTAAGCCTGTGGGCGCGGATCTTATATCCAGCTGACGCTGGATATAAGATCCGCGCCCAAAGCGAGGCACGTTACCCTGTGTGATGCCTGAGGGAGTGCGTTCATGCAGGAACTACTTTCTCGAACTTCTAAAAGGTCATCGGTTTGTGGAAGCAGCAAATCCCTCTACTGGTGTTGCCTCAGCTGTAGGTATGGGTCTAAATCTCGACCTTGTCTCTTCTCCTTTTTTGCTGCAGAAAATTCGTAATGCCAATAGCTCACACGGACTTCAATTACGAAGCTAAGCGCAAGCACTGCCACAAGACGGCGTTTACGTTCTTTACGTGATTTGATGTAATATTTGTATATACACCTTATTATGGACAAGCGGCTGTCGGTTATTAGGTACAGAAATAATTTAAGGTTGACGAAACGCCCAAGGTGTTTGTTGAATTGCGCATACCTTATATCAATTTGCGTTTTAGAAGTTTGCGGAAAAGCCTTCGGGTTCTCTTTTTTACGAAAATGTACTTTGATAATATCTTGTATTTAAATGAAAATAGATTATCTACAACGATATGTTTTACATAACGTACTGCTATGTCTGGTGAAGTTTTTGACGATTCGTCGTTTTCTAAGAAAACTTTTTATAGGTTAATTCTTCTTCTGTTTTGCAATAGACGATGCTCTGTTCTTGCTTGCTGCTCCTCTGGACCATGTCTAAAAGTTCACGAGATAATTAGTCCAATTATTGGCTAGAAGATTACTGTTACAAACGTTTTACGTACATATTTGCCGAAATGAAGCGCCTACTTCAGAGCATGGTTCTTTTATTTCTTGCTCGAAATCAACAATCCCGTTTCAGTTGCACGTACTTTGACCTAAAAGTTACGACTGCTCTGTATGTAGTTCTATTTTCTTGCAGCTACGACGGATAACGCTAAAAACTTCAAAATGTATTGCTGAATAATAAATATCGCATAATAAATAACGTACGTTTTTTTCACTGAATAGAAAACATCGCACCTTTTTTGTTCCTGTGGTAATGACGCGTTATGTTATGCGCCTGCCTTCAAAGGTGCCTTTAAGCAATCGTCATCAAACATAGGCGATTGGCCAGGATGGAATACGTCCTCTAGATCCCAAACGCTGTTTTCATACTTCTGCAAGCCACTCAAAGCCGTCATTTTTCGGGTTACTTCAGCAACATTTTTGGCCTCGAGAAAATACGTGGTACAAAACGTGCCGAAAATACATTTTTTTTTTCATTTGAAAAATGCACTTTTGAAGAGTTCCCTCAAGTTGAAATTTCTCGCGCAACATAATGCCCCTACAGCACGCTGATAGAGCAAGCAGCAGCCTTGTAGAAGGATAAATCTAAAGTAAACAAAAAAACACAATATATTAGTGTCGATGACTGTTTACCCTGAAAATAAGTAGAAACATACGTGAATATATGACTGCTTCTATTAACTGCGTGTATTCTATATGAGATTAATGACGTGGTCACAACTATGCCCTGTAAATAGGAGGTCCTATAATACGTTATGAACAAATAGGGAAAACAGAAGTATCAATAGAGATCTTGATGCTCCAGTGTATTTTAGATATCTTAGTATTATTGCTCAAACTTCTTGGCTGCTGGACGCTTAGACTGAAAACGATAGCTTACAGTAATAATACGATTGCTACCTTTGAGTTGGTTCCCGTATGCATCCTATACAGATTGCACAACGTATTACTCGTACAACGTACGTATCGATTAACTAGTGTACGGAGTGTGATACGGTTGTTTTTTTACTGGCAACGCAGCCTCTATGGCATCGCGGCGCCTCTGAAAAGTTTGTCTAATGGCCCCCGAGCGTTAAAGGTGAACCGTCTGTCCAATACATCGTTTCTTTTTTCCTGTCGACTGTCCTTGACGTCGAGCCGCTGGCGGCAGCGTCAACTGTTCAATAATTTCTATCCTAACACCTTTTTTGAGCGAGCCTTCATGCACGCTGTCACCTGTCCCTTCTTCTGCAGATACACTACAATCGGAGAACCAAAGTTAATTGTTTTTCTGTTTACAGTTCACAGCCGGACGCGCCCGGCGCAATACGTGTTTCTGTACCGATTAGACAGGTCAGCAACAGAAATATACTGTGCAGCAACAACTTCCTGATCTTTTCCTTCCAGATCAAGTCCAATATAACAGCATAGTGTGCGGGCATTAACTTTAAAGAAACATTGAATGTCATCTCGTTGGGAGCTACGGAAAAAGCACTTCCTTCATTCATCAAAGATTCATAACGTAGTATTATACACAAGGACTGCGGGAAGCTGTTCCAGCTCCTTGACGCTACAAGTTCACACATCCTGTCACGTACCAAACAACCAGTGTATAATTGGACCTGGTGAGTTGCGACTTTGACTTGGCTATGGTGAGCTCGTAGCGGACACCGCGATGCAATCGGTAGGGTCTTGTGCACGAACGAAGGTTCTTGGCTTATTAATCAGTATACGAAAATGCTCAGAGCATCAGAAGGAGTTATAAAAATGAGGCGGATACCTTCTGACGCACAAATGTACCGCATTACTTGACAGTGGTACCTTTGATTATACAATCGTTTGAGACTTCGCACGACGTTGAACATCAATCTGTATTAGTTCTCCCAGTTTTAAAGTAATAAAAGGATGGGATGAATAAATTATTAGCTTATCAAAAGTTGTTGAATTTTTAAACTATGCACCATTAGCATAAAAGATCTTGAGAGAGCGACTTTGTATTAATTCAGTATTCCCAGAGCATAACGAGTTTCGAGGCAATAGTATTGTTTAGTATTTGAAGTTAACGCTTAATTATTAGGTTTCTGTTTATTAAATGTGGGAGTCCATCAAAGAATATTGAAAAGAAGACTCGGTAAAAACCTTCTAGGGACCGACAGGTCATTACTGATTCAAAGGAACTTCAAAACGAAGAACAAGAATCGTTCGTGTTTTTCAACTAATCAGAGTATGGCCCGTCTGAAATTTCTCGAAGCACGTGCTATGGAACTGTGGCAAAAATAACGAAGATCAGAACAACAAAAAATGAGTTGAACGTAAACTGGGCTCAGGATAGAGATGGAGACGCGTGCCGTACTTCAAGAACAATTTGTGCAATCATTACCATCAAAAAACCGGCCTGGGATTCAACGCTGGCATAGGCCAAACATATATTATTAGTTCATGATGCCCACCATCTATATTGAACTCCTAAGAAACTTTGTTAATGTACGACCCACAGTCAATAGCACACGCTCACCAAACATACACGAACTTATAGAGACAGAATCGAGCGATGGCACAAACACCCGTATTCCCTAGATCTGACTTGAAAGGCTGATGGATCGCGCTGCGTAGCTTACCATCGTTTCGTTCCACCATGATAAAATTAGGTAATGCATAGCTATTGAGAGCTTCTTAAAGCGCTGAAATCAATAAAAGAGGATACATCTTCTGTGCAACAAAATATAATTTTTTCGCCTTATATGGTTTAAAGGTTGAATAACGATATAGGTTTTTGTCCCACTAAATAATTTCGGAAATGATCTAATATGCACTTAATAATAACTTAGTTAAAACGAAATATGTTATGGTCCTGGTTAATTTTTTGATCTAGTAATCTGCAACAGGACAACTTGCGTTAAGTTGGCAAGTAAATTTATTATCCTATTATTTCAATTTTTTATAGCCCATAAACTTCTAACTTTATCGTTACCGGCATTCAAATTAACGTTCGTTGTCCTTTTCTAGATGAAAGGCCATCTCTGTTTGGTGGAAATGCTATCGAGTGTAAAACAGATCTTTGCATTAGATTCCCTTTCTCGGGTTTTAAGCAGCTCCACTATACACAGATTCAATTGCAGTTACTTATGTTAGAGCATAAAGTTGGTAATGGTAAATAGTAGGATCTTTAGAAAATCTAACGTCAAAAGCTGTATAAGGAAGAAAGGCGTAACTGCAAGCATCATATCTCAATGTCTCATGGCCCTTTATGCTGGGTAGAATCTTTTCTTAGATTTCATCCTTAAGGTAGTTTCCAATCACGTAAACTGAAACTATCTGGACCACGTCTTAGGGGCGGACACTGAAGCACCACGCCCATAGCACCAGCAGCCTCACCATACGTCCACGACATCCATTGCAGTATTAAGGATCCAGTGCCGACTCAGCACTTCTATCTCATTTTCATTCTCAATATGATCAGAAGTTATTGTATCCTAACCCTATCTCTACTTCATGTACAGTTTTATCCTTGGATCAACCTTCTTGTGTTATTTATCAATGGCAAATCTATAACGAATATGTTACTTTGAATACGAACATTTTCAGTACTATTTTTCCAACTAACAATCAAAGCCACATATTTGATTCTGTGAATATTTGTAGCCATATCACCTCAGCCGCAGGTCTATGAGCACCGTAAAATAACATAATAGTTGATAGAGGCCTCTGTCGAATAGAAGAAAAAGTGGTAAAAAGGAAATGACTTATCAAAAATTGACGGGGCACTTAAAAATCGCCCCTTTCTCCTTTTTTTCCACGCTTGCCTTTGGTCGTCTTCAATTCGAAAAGATTTGCAGGGCCGAAATACGGCACCCCATTCGAATACCGGCAGAAATACAACTTGTGCCTAGCGAAGTTGGATTGATGCCGGCAATGGCCTACCACGTTGCTACGTTAGTGCAAACAAATAGTTCTTACTTCTATTTGGGGTGGCCTCTTTCCTCTGCACTACCCTCAGTCGCAGACCGTTAATTCTTTTACCACGCGTTCCCTTACCCCCAGAGGCCTGGCCCACGCCACGTTCTCAAAACATCGAACCCTATAAGGAGGAGGTAACAGAGTGCACTTGTAGGACAGCAACGGCGAAAGCAGCAGCAGCATCAAATGCCCCCTTTACCTCACGTCACTTTCCACGGAGGTTATGCGCTTCCCCTATGAATGCGGTAACAACAGCGTTGGCGCGTGCAGTGGACTAGCCATCCATATAAATAGACTCAAATTAAGCTAAACAGATATTTGAGTGTCACACGAACGCAGCAATGACATCGAACAAATGCATAAACGATGTTCAGGAATACGCTACAGCTGGCTACCTGTAAATAGGCCAGTGTGGTTACTCATTGGTGAAATAGGATGGGACTGAAGTCGACAGAAGTAAATTAGATGGACGACACTAGATAGCTGTTAGAGAGGGTTTGTGGCTGCAGTGCAGGCTCATTGCTTGTTCAACCTTAAACGAAGCCTTCGCCTGAAGACTGCACAGGACATGTTTGTGGATATGAAACTGGACTCAGCAACGATTCAGGTGAATTCCATTTTTCCTTGGCGCAACATCATAATATTATTTAATCCTTTGCTTCCTAAAAAAATATTAGTCATCGAACCAAACTCATTGGACTGCAGAGATGATGATAATAATAATAATAATAATAAGTAAAACAATTAGAAGGTCAGTCTTTACTACAGGTGCAGGGTTAATCATAGATCAATTTTCTAGGTTTAGAAAAACGATGGGCTTCTATAGCTAGCACTTTCCAGCATTTCCTACAATATCTATTTTAAGCAAGCGCTAAAAATTGTAAAGGTTGGTGGTAATGTCAAAAAATCAAATGGCTATGACATTTTATTACTACGTATACACATCCTGGTTACTGATTACTAGGAGAACTGAAATGTAATGTCACGGTCTTATTTACAACGTTTTGCAATTTTATATTCCTTTATATAACTTGTTTTTTTTGTCTTGTTCTTTTGTTCTTACTTTGTCAAGACTCGCTGCGTTTTGAGTGAGCTTTTGTCGAACATGAGGTGTTGTCACCATCAAGTACACACTAAACATTATATCATCATGCCGATTTAGTTCGATCGTTTTTAGACAATCTAAGTAAACTTAAACATTGAGTTTGTCGAATCGACAAATAAGTTGTAAGCCTTTCCATAAGTTACACTAAGCTACAATTCCTGTAATCCTTAATCTTGGTGACTGACTCTTTTATTGTTGCTACTTTTTTTTTACATAATAGCAAACACAATATAAATTAAATATGAGAGCCCGAGCTGTAATAGTCGGACTGCTTCCAATGTACCAT